CCAGCGAGGACCCAAAGTGGATTACAAGATGGTTCCTCACCCCAGCAATCCTTAGGACCACCAATTGTCTGGAGAGAAAAAATGTCCTGTTCCTTTCATAAAGGCTTAACAGGATGTTATATTTATTTATTTAAAATATTTATTTGTCTGCCTTTCCCCTGAACATTTCAGGACCCAAGGCGGTAACCATACCATCAAAACAATTTCATAAACATCCAAAACAGTAGACATAAAACATTTTAAAAGACCTATGCGCGCACACCTCATGCCCTCACCAGTCCTCTTTGCCCATGCTCAGGCTGCCTCCAAAGCTCTTTGGAACAGCTCTGTTCTGCAGGATCATTGCCAGGAAGGTAGGAGCCCCAAGTCATGTGGTCCCCAGATCACGAAGGCCTTTAAAGGTAAGTGCCAGTACCTTGAACTGAACCTGGAAACTAACTGGCAACTAGTGAAAGGATCTCAAAATAGGAGCAATGTGCTCCTGCTGGCTAATCACACATAACAAACAAGCTGTCCCATCTTGCACCAGCTGCAGGTTCCAGACTGTCTTCAAGAGCAGCCGCATGTACAGCACATTACAGCCACTCAGACTTGAGGTTACTTAAGTATGGACCATTGCAGCCATTTCAGGAGTCTGCAAATAGGGAGTAAGCCTCCTAACTACATGTAGCTGAGGAAAAGCATTTTTGCCCTCAGTGACACCTGTTTCTCCAACAGGAGACCAGGATCCAGCAAGACTCCCAAGATCTTAAGAGAGTCTCAAACCAAAGCTAGTTTCCAGTCCAGTAGAACCTTAGGGACCAACAAGATTTTTAGCATACGAGCTTTTGAGAGTAAAAGCTCCATTTGTCAGATAGGGAGCTTTTATTCTCGAAAGCTCATACGCTAAAAACCATTTGTCTCCAAGATGCTACTGGACTGGAATCTAGCTGCTCTATGGCAGATCAACACAGCTACCCTCTAACACTATCAGCAAAAGCTGTACACCATTGAAGACAGGGAGAACCTTCCCAAGTAAAACAGCCAATGTCATCTCTGTCCTGTCTGGAATCACCTCTCCTCTCCAGCCAGCATCATCTCTGTCTTCTCTGGATGCAGCTTCAGTTTGCTCTCCTGCAGCCACGTGGCCACTGGATTCAGTCACTGGGTCAGGACAGAGACAGCAGCAGCTGATGGCTTATTCAGGATAATCTACAGCATATTGAGAACAGCCTATTCAGCAACTGTGGATGATCTCATTAAGGGGCCTTGGTGGTGGAAGGCTGCTGTCAAGTTGCAACCAACTTATTGCAACACCACAGGATTTTCAAGGCGAGAGACATTCAGCCAAGCAGGCAGCTGCTGCCTGCCACTGCGTAGCTCCCACAGGAACAATTCAGCATCTCCCACTGCAACCTTTTGTGGACAGTCTGACAGGACAGACTAATAATTAATTATAATTATCCTATGGCAATGTGTGTAGTATAGCCAGGAGATCCAAAGATTGTCTGGCAGCCTTAAGTTCTATCCCTTTAGCATTATGCACCACTAAAGTGGCAAGCTAGACTTGAGAGAGCTCTGAAAGAGCTTTGACTGACCCAAGGTCACCCAGCTGGCTTCATGTGGAGGAGTGCGTAATTGAACCCGGTTCTCCAGATTAGAGTCCATCACTCTTAACCACTACACCACGCTGGATCTCACTGGACAGACTGGAACCGTCTCAGTACTGCTCTACCCAGATCCATCTTACCTTCCAGACACCTCTGCAGTATCATTGGCTCACCCATATGAAGACTGTTAACAGACCTAATGGCAAAAATTTACTAGGTAATGTTATATACCTGCATGCCATGAAAAACTAGAAATGCTCATTCCTACACATTAAGCCTCTATTAAAGGGACATTTTTTTCTCCCAGATCCTAGTCCAGTACTCTAACCACTACAGAGTTATTTTTATTTTTCAGATGGGGAACAGAGGCCTGGGGAAAAACATTTCACCCAAAGCCATCCATGAATAAATGAACCATTTTTTGATTCCTGGTATTTTCCTGCACATACTCGAGATGGTTGCATGCCTGTTAGAGATTCCTTAGCCCATGCCCTTTTGTTCTCAAGACTACCTAATGTACATCCATTTGTTTGTTGTACTTTTTTACATATTTGTACCATCCTTCCAGGCAGGGTAATCAGTGCCCCCCAATACCTTTTAATGCAGTCACCTTTATGGGTGTAAAAGGGATGCTTATCTATATTACTGTTTTTTAGTCCAGGATTAAGGGGTGGTACTTCTATCTTATAAAAGGTAAAGGTTTCCCTTGCTCGAAAGCTAGTTGTATTCAACTCTAGGGGGCGGTGCTCATCTCCATTTCCAAGCCGAAGAGCCAGCGCTGTCTGAAGACGTTTCTGTGCTCATGTGGCCAGCGTGACTAAACGCCGAGGCGCACGGAACGCTGTTACCTTCCCACTGAAGCGTTCGAACTACTAGGTTGGCAGGAGCTGGCGCTAGAGACGGGAGCTAAGTGCGTCATGCAGCACTAGGGTCTCAAACTGGCAAACTACAGACCTTCTGGTCTACAGCTCAGCATCTTAACCTTTAAGTCACTGCGGCTTCTATCCTGAGCCAGTATCATAATGCCCCTGTACAAATTGATGGTGCAACCTCATTTGGAATACTGTGTACAGTTCTTGTCACCTAGGGCTGCCGCGGGGGACAGCGATACGCGTTGCACCGCTGCCGCCAGGATGTGACGCTACGCGTCGCTCTGGCAACGGGTCTGTTTGGAGTCCAGTTTGCTTAGCCAGTTTGGTGTAGTGGTTAAGAAACTAGAATGATAAAAGGGTTGGAACACGCTTGGGAGACCACCTATGAAGAAAGGTTAAAGCGCTTGGGGCTCTTTAGCTTAGAGAAACGACGGCTGAGGGGTGACATGATCGAGGTTTATAAGATTATGCATGGGATAGAATAGATAGAGAAAGAAGTACTTTTCTCCCTTTCTCACAATACAAGAACTCATGGGCACTTGATGAAATTGCTGAGCAGTCAGGTTAGAACAGATAAAAGGAAGTCCTTCTTCACCCAAAGAGTGATTAACACAGGGAATCCACTGCCACAGGAGGTGACGGCAGCTACAAGCATGGACGGCTTCAAGAGGGAATTAGATAAACACATGGAGCAGAGGTCCATCAGTGGGTATTAGCCACAAGGTATAGATAGGAACTCTCAGTCTGAGGCAAGTGATGCTCTGTATTCTTGGTGCTTGGGGGGGGCAACAGTGGGAGGGCTCCTAGTGTCCTGGCCCCACTGCTGGACCTCCTGATGGCACCTGGTATTTTTGGCCACTGTGTGACAGTGTGTTGGACTGGATGGGCCATTGGCCTGATCCAAAATTGGCTTCTCTTATGTTCTTATGACCTGGATGGCCCAGGCAAGCTCTACCTTAAAAGCTACGCTTGGGAGACCACCAATAAAGTCCAGGGCTGGTATACACAGGCAGGCAATGGCCAATGACCTCTGAATGTGTCTAGCCTTGAAAGCCCTACAGAATCGCCATAAATTGGATATGACTTGATGGCACTTTCCACCCCCACCCCCCAACCATGTGGTGTAAAAGAACGTAATTTTGGGTACACAGAATGATTACTGGGATGGTTACAGATCAAGATGGATAGCAGTGTTAGTCTGTCCGTAGCAGTAGAAAAAGCAAGAGTCCAGTAGCACCTTAAGGACTAACAACATTTGCGGCAGGGTGTGAGCTTTCATGAGCAGTGACTCTTGAAGGCTCCTACCTTGCCCAAATTTCGTTAGTCCTTAAGGCTCTACTGGACTCTTGTTCTTTTCTACTACTAGGATGGTGGTGGTTGTTATTTTTGCTGTTATGTCACAGCTGACTTATGGTGACCCCACAGGGTTTTTAAGGCAAGAGAGGTTCAGAGGTAGTTTGTCATTGTCTGCCTCTTCGCCATGACCTTTGTATTCCTTGGTGGTCACCCATCCAAATACTGCTTGCTTAGCTTCTGAGATCTGAGAGATCAGGCTAGTAGCCTGGGCTACCGGAGTCAGGGCTACTAGGATGGCTAATGCGTGGTAAATGGAGATTTTTCTAATCATTTAGAAAAGAAAAAAGGAGTTCTATAGCACCTTAAAACCTAACAGGCTTATTGCATTGTACACTTTTAGCCTTTAAGGAGCCATAAGACTCCTCTTGTTGCTGCAGTAACACAGTTTGTTTGCAGGATCCTTGCGAACTGAGGAAAGACTCTAATCTGCATTGGTGCTAGTTAATAGTGGTCCTTTGGGGCTTCTTTACACTAAAGCAGCGATGCTACCCAATTTTTTTTGTAATGCACTGCCCTGTTTATCTTAATGACTGGCTCCTCCGTTTTGATTTAAAAAACAACAACAGGTGATGCTGGGCCCTGGGTGTTAAGACCTATTCCCGAATGAATTTCAGTTTTGTATATATTTGACACCTGATTCAAATATATGCTGAACTGAAGCCAAAGCTACCACAGGAGGAATCCTCCAGTTGTCTGCTTCTGAAAAGCCTCTGTTTCCAGCTTGGCAAGCACAATCGTGTCAACCGTCCAAACAAACCGAAAAGCTAACGTCCTCCCGCCTCCCTCCACTCCCAATGAGCGACGCCTACTAAACTTCAACCATAAACTTGAACTTGGAGAATGTTTAGATTAGATTAATGCACGTCCACTGATCGTGACTCATGGGTAGGGGTTTCTGGGCACTCCCCTTCACCCAAAAGGACTGCACGAACCTCCCTTGCTTACATGGTTTTCTATTTGTTTATAGGGCGATTGCAGCTTGACCCCAAGCTCAGCAACCGAAGGTGGCAGAGACGGGACGACCCAGAGCCCGATTCTCGCCAGCCATATAAGCAGCACAGTCGTTGGAGGCGCCGGAGATCTTCTGGATCTTAGGGATCGCTCTGGATCCCACGCTGGCGCGCAGCTCCGACTCGCCCGTCCCCAGCCTTCTCCTCTCCCCTCGTCACGGCTTGCCCCTCACCTTGCCGTATTTCCTGAGCTTCTTCCTGCGCTTTCTACTTTTGCGCTCGGCTCGCTGCGCTTGCTGCTCCACGTCGGCGCCGAGCGGCTCGTACTTGTCCGGGAGGATGGCAAACGCGACTCGCTTGGAGGAGCCCCCGGAGCCTTCCTCGGCGTGGCCCTCCGGCGCCCGCTTCCCTTGTTGCGCCTCCTCCTCCGCCTCCTCTTCTTCCTCGAGGATGGCGGTCGTGTCTTCTGCGGGGCCCCCCCGCCGGAGCCCCCGGGCTCTCAGGGTCCCCCCCACGCCCACCTTGGCCCCGCCGACGGTCATCATGCTCGGACGGCCTCTGGTTGCGAAAGCCAGAGGCACCTTTGCTCTTCCCCGCCTAAGGTCAGGCGGTGCCTGGCTGAGGGAGGCCACCGGTGGAGCTCGAGAGAGACGTTCGGAGCAGGCTGGGACTCGGCTGGGCCCCCGCCAAAGCCCGCCCGCCTCCCCGCCTGGAGGAACGGGTTGAGCCACCACCCTGCTCAAAGGCCCAGCTCCAAACTATTTACAGCACCGCTTCCCCTCGCACCGAGAAAGCACTTCAGTCCGGTCTAAAGAGCCGATGCAGGCTGAGAGGAAAAAACAACAACACGCGATACATGGTATTGTTAGGAGAACAGCTTGAATTCTTTTCCTCGCCGCCAGACTTCTGTGTTCCTCTGAGAACTCTGCAAACAGTAATGCAAACCAGATTTCTCCCTTTTTTATCATTTAGGCCAGGATCCAACAGAGTTGGGCATGCGAACTCTGCCATTAAATTGAGCTGCTAGCATTCAGCAAGCCTTCACAAGTATCTCTGAGCCCTTTTAAATTTGTTCCCTTGGAAAATACAGATCTTCCCTCAAGAAAGTAGAGCTGATGTTGATGGCCTGATCCATAGGATACAACTGTTACAGGATGGTTGGAGCTGTGCCTCTTTAAATTCCAGTGGGTATGTGGTCGCCAATTCTGGGTTGGGAAATACCTGGAGATTTAGAGGGATGGAGCCTAGGGAAGGTGCGGTTTGTGGAGAGGAGGGACCTCAATGGTATATAATGCCATAGAGTCCACCCTCCAAAGCTAGCATTTTCTCCAGGGGGAATGACCTTTATTGCCTGGAGATCCTTTGTCATTCCAGGATATCTCCATGTCCCACCTGGAGGTTGGCAACCCTACACAGGCACTGTACATTTTCAGTGATTTTTTAAAAAAATTGTCCAGAAGCATATAAACAAACCCTCCCAACAAACAAACAAACAAACCTCGATGCCCAGTTCACCCAAGTGGATACCATGATATAATTGTACAGGCATAAAGGACACAGTTCCCACAACAAGGACACTTCCCTTATATTATTACTGGATGACTGTGTCAGTGGGGGAAGGGCTCAGTGGAATGGGGAGGGACAGGAAAGAATGTGGACTGTAAGCACCTTACCTCATGACTTGAACCCTGGAAACTCCCATTTTCAATAATGGAGGAGGGGTGACGCTGCATTCATTAGGCTTGTATACCTTCCCTCCAGAGTACCTGGAGATCTACTTGCATTCTGCTTAAAGAAATCTCCTCTCCACATACACATATAATAGCGAAACAATGTCAGTTTTATAAGTATAAACTTAACAGTATTTAACTCAGTGTCATTAGGCACAGAGAAACTAGATATGAAAAAAAAAATCCTCACTACCTCTCCTTTTTACAACTGTATGCTATTTCCTCTTTTAAGTTCAGCGCCTTGCTGGCAGGAATTCATTAATAAGCTTATCCTGTTTTCCTTGGATGCATGTACTAAAGCCATTACCAAGTCATTAAGTATTATCCCACGCCTCGCTGTCCAGCCACTGCATTAAGACTGTTCTTTTAATTATCAAGATATTAAGAATTTTTCACAGCAGGAGCTGTCAGTAAAAAAAATTCTTCTGACTTCCTTCCCTACCCCACCCCACTATTGCTGTTGAGGTCTCCAGTACTGAGATAAAAACCTGTTAAGGATCACCTTTGAAATAGAACAAAAATGCATGACCAAAGAAACATTGTACAAGGCCACTTGTGTGTGTGGCAGAATCCAAACTTACAGAGATGTTGTTTGCTAGCCCCTCTTTAACAACCAAAAACCCTTAGGCACATTACTTTTAACATTATATGTCAAATTTATATGTGGATTATCAAGGAGTTAAAAAAAAATCTCCAAGGCCACAGTGCTTGTTGAAAGAACACATGCTATGATGCAGACAGTATAGAATCTTTCACATGTAAACATTCCTGTATAAACAGAGCAAGATTCTAATCCTCATGGCAAGAGGAGGGGAAAGCTATTAAAACACAGAGCAGGTTTATGCTAAACATTCTCAACATTGAACAGAACTCTAATCTATATACTAATAGTCGAGAGGCCCCCTCTGTGCGGATATCTAAATCCGCACATTGGGGGCACTTGGGGGGCAGAGAGATTTTCCTGCACACTTGGGGCAATCCCCAGGTGTGCAGAAAAATATGAAGAGTTTAAAAAACTATACGGGGGATACTTAAATCCTCCCAAAAGTAAGAGTGTTCCCTGCACATGTGCAGAGAATGCCCTGGGAATTGTCCTGCGACTGCTGCTAGTGCTGGGGGGGGAGGGAGAAGTCTTGGTGGGCTGGTGGCTGTGAGCCGCTCAGGCCTTGCCACCGGTGCCACAGGGGGGAGGGAGAAGGCTTGGTGGCTCAGGCCTCGCTGTCGCTGCTGGGGGGGAGAAGGTTTGGCGGGCCCGGCGGCTGGGAGCCACGTGGGCCTCGCCGTCGGGGGGTGGGAGAGGTTTGGCCGGCCTGGTGCTGGGAGCTGCACAGGCCTCGCTGTTGCTGGCAGGGGGTGGGGGAGAAGGTTTGGCGGGCCTGGCAACTGGGAGCCGTGCAGTCCTTGCTGTTGGGGCCAGGCAGGGGCGGGGGAGAGGGGGAGCAGGCTCACTTGCAGTGGCTTCCTCTATATGTAGCTCCTCCCCCCCACGAGTACCGCAGGTCCCCGCTTCTTGTCTTGTCTATATATCTAACTAGGAGGCAGGCCCGTTGCGGCCCAAAATGCAACAAGCTTCTAGCAGAGGGCCTGGGTGAGCATGGCATTGTGGAGGAGGTGTGCTCCCCCCCCTCCCAGAGCCCTGGCCAAGCGCGAGGCAGCCTGGAGGCGCGGAGGAGTGCGGGGCCGGGTGTGCACTGGTCCCCACCAGGACCGCAGGCAGTCGGCGGTGGGACAGAAGGCCACCTATAGGCCGCACCATAGCCAGAGCCGTCCCACAGCCCCTAACGGAGGCGGAGTGAAGGAGGGGCAGAGGAGCACGAGTCCGGGCGAAGGAGCAGAGTGTCAGGGCAGCAGGCGGCGCGCTGCGGAGGGCGGAAGAGCCGCCAGGGTGGGGGAGAAGGAGGCGAGAAGGCAGGGTGCCGGGCAAGCAAGCCCTTTCGGCCGCCAGAGCACATGCCACCTCTGCCGCCTTGCAGCTTACTGAGGCGGAAAGGCTGGGCGGCGATTCTGGTAGAGGGTGGGTGGGACATTGACAACACATGGGCAAGCAGTCACCAATGGATGGCGAGACCCTGCCAATGCAGCCACCAATAGATGGCGAGACCTTGTGATCGACAGGTCTCCTGGCCAAAGCCTGTGGGTGTGTGTTCCAGGACTCACACAAAATGAGCTTTATATATAAAGAGAGAAGAGAGATAGCCAAGTTGTCCCCTGTGTGGATACTTATTTCTGCCAACAGAGGGCTCACTCTCTCCCAACAGCTTTTCCTACATAGTTATGGGTCTTCCTAGGGCTGCAGAAAAATCCAAAAAAAATCTCTTAAGGGAGGGTTGAATCCCCCCCAATACCTTTTGAAATGGCCTCTGCAGGGAACTAACTCCAGACATCAATGGTGAGAGATTAGACTGTGGGGGGGGGGGGGCTTCTAACTATTTCTGTCAGTAAAAGGAGGGGAAGGGGGGAGGGCCCCTTTCCAGTTCTATTTTGGCTTTCAGGGCAGGAGCCAGGGCCATCAGGGAGGGAGCCAGTGCCAGGCTGGGGAATTCCTAGAGATTTTGAAGTGGGCTGTGACGAGGGCTGGATTTGGGGAAGGGAGAGGCCTCGGCTGTGTATAATGCCACAGAATCTACCCTCCAAAGCAGCCATTCGCTGCAGGGAGACAGACATCTGCTGTCTAGAGTCCAGTTGTAATTCTGGGCCGTCTCCAGGCCCCACTTGGAGGCTGGCCAGCCTAGGCCTGGCAGTAGTCTAAAGTTGCCAGGTCCCCCCTGATTTGCATGACTCAACTAGGCCTGGCTGCTTGCTACTGTTCATCAGCAGCCACCCTATGAAAGCCAGTGAGGTGCAGCAGTTAAGAGCTTCAAAGTAGGGTCTGCAAGACCCAGGTTCAGATCCCTATCTTGCAGTGGAAGCTGACTGGGTGATTTTGGACCAGTCACATACTTTCAGCCTAACCAACCTGACAGGGTTGTTGTGCAGATGAAAAGGGGGCGAGAATAATGTAAGCTGCTTTGATCCCCACTGTGGAGGAAGACTGTAATTTTCCTAGGTAGGGGCTGTGGGGGAGGAGTGAGGAGATGGACAGCTGAAGACAGAGGCAGATAAAAGTAGGTTGGCTGTTGGGTGGGAAGGAAATTGTGTTGCCAACTCCAGACTGGGAAATTCCTGGACATTTGAGGGGTGGATCCTGGGGAGGGTAGAATTTGAGGAGGGAAGGAACTACAGACCAGTATGATGCCATAGACTCCGCCCTCCAAACCACAAGAACTACCATTGCCAGCCTCCAGGCAAGGGCTGGAGATCACCCAGAATTACAACTGTTGTCCAGGTGACAAAGATCAGTTTCCCTGGATAAAATGGCTGCTTTGGAGGGTTGAGTCTGTGGCATTATACCCTGCTGAGGTTGCTTGCCTCCCCAATCCTCACTGTCCCAAAGCTCAACCCCCAAATCTCCAGGAATTTCCCAACCTGGAGATGGCAGCCCTAAGGTGAATTGATGGCTGTAGCTGGGAGATTCATTGTGATTCCCAGAGTGCTGCCACTGCTGGGGGGGGGGGGGGGAGAAGCAGCAGGCAGGAGGCTGGGAGAGTGATGGGGGCAGAAAGAGAGAATGATAGAGTGGGGGGGCAGAGAGAGAGAAAGAGTGATGGAGGTGGGGAAGCAGAAAAACAGCGGATAAGAAAGAGAGAGGAAGTAACATACATGGAGGGGAGAGAGAGAGATTAAGAAAGGAGGGCAGAAGGGAGAAAGAGGTAAGGGGAGAGGGGAGGAAGCAAAGGTGTGAGGAATGGGATTACCATCCTGCAAGTTTCTTGCGGGGCTCCACTTGTAGTATCTAATTCTCAACATAGACAGATTTGTGAATACTTAAATCCCGAGACTGGAGCCATCGAGAAGACAGATCTTTCTACAAACCTGAAAAAGTCCCAAGT